ATAGAGTAGGGAGGGATCATTTCTCTACTTTCTGTGTCATGAGAGGAGATCTTTCCAAAGTGAGGGAGATCTCCTCTTGAACAGTTGTCACAAGTGTCCCTGTTGGGAGATTCTCCCTCTATTTCTGTTCTGGTGACAAGTAAGTTGCAGTAACAATGGTCACAATACAAACAGAGATGGTAAATTTCCAAAGCAGGGACACAGACAGCTATGAAACCTCACAAGAAGTCTAACTGCCTACCACTCTGTGCAAACAAAAATAATGCAGCTTTAAATAAATTTTAATGCATATTGTTTGAGTGGGGAATATTAACCACTTCCCAACCTGCCTATAGGAGATACAGGGTGGCATATGTATACGTGATTTTGCATTTCTAGGTAGGACCACGGCCATGGTTGTCAATCACCGGGTCCCGGCTTTTGATTCCTCGCTGGTACCCAGTGATTGCTGAGCATCTCCGACGGGGAGATGTTTTGTAAACAAAACAGTTCTCCTCCCTGTCAGCTCATGCACACTGCTTTGGATGGCTGTGCCCATCACAGCCATGAAAAGCAGTGTGATTACAGTGAAGCACACGGGCACAGCTTACAGTGAAACAGCACACACAGTTAACCCTTTAATTTGCCCCTCATGTTAACCCCTTCCTGCCCAGTGCCATTAGTACAGTGTCAGTGCTTTTTTTTAGCACTGATCACTGTATTGGTGTCACTTGGGATGTCAGTAACACCAAGTCAATCCCCCCTAGTGTCAGAATGCCCACCGAAGTCCCGCTATAAGTCGCTGATCGCCGCCATTACTAGTAAAAATAAAAAATAACAATAAAACATTCCAGTATCTATACCACCATTTGTAAACGTTATTTCTTTCACATAAAACAATTAATTTACATGTATTGGGATTTTTTTTAGCAAAGATATGCAGCAGAATACATTTTGGCCTAAATTTATGATGAAATTTAATTTTTTACATTTTTTTACTGGACATGTTTAATAGCAAAATGTCAAATATATTGTTTTATCTCAAAAGTGTCAGTCTTTTTTTTTTATAGCGCAAAAAATAAAAAACTCATAGGCGATCAAATACCACCGAAAGAAAGCTCAATTTGTGGGGAAAAAAGGATGCCAATTTAATTTGGGTGCAGGACTGCATGACCGCGCAATTGTCAGTAAAGTAATGCAGCACCGTAACTCAAAAAATGGCCCGGTCAGGAAGGGGGTAATCCTCAGGAGGGCAAGTGGTTAAACCATTTTTTTTCTCAATACATGGACTGGATATTGCTAGATTAGGTACTGTTATCTTAAGTAATGTTAGGGTGTAGTAAGCTGACCGTTTATGCATTCAGTGATTTTATATTTTGAGTTGATGAGCTCATTTCAGCCCAGCATAGCTAGCTACACAAATCAGCCTCTGCATTGGGAAGGCATGTGGAAAATGGTTGACTTAAAAGGAGTGCATTATTGTGTGGATTGAATTTCAACATACTTTACTAGTGGTGGTTTACAAAGCAGGTATGGATAGTATTGCACAGTGTAGGTATATTGCGGTGCTTTGCCATTCATTGTTGTTTGCCAATGCACATATACAGGACATCCAGCACATTTGTGCTATAGTGCACCACAATGCTTAAATGTACACACTTGCAGTATTGGGGTGTTCTACATTTTGCCAAAATAGAGCAGGGCCTGTTTTTTCTTGCACAGGTGTTTTTAACGCCTATTAAAAACACATTTTAAAGTATTAAAGCTCACAGTATTTTGGTATAAAATGTCCCTTCTAGAATGGGCAAATTAACATAACACAACAATTTCTCAGTGTAGGGAAACCATTGACATTTTTAAATTTCAAGTACAGTCTCAATATTTTTCCAGTCTTTCTAATGATTTTGATTCATGTAGGTAATAATTTTAACTGTCTCCGTGGATTCAAAATACTTTCCAGTTTATGTTTTCGTATGTTTTAATAAGCAGCTTTATTCTAGCAGTATTAAACTGAAGGTTATGGTAATGGACACAGAAGGAGAAAGCAACATCAAGAGAAAATTTACAAGGATATTGAGCATCAGGCCATTAAGCACAATATGGCTGTTTGGTGCAATTCCTCTTTAAGGTTAGGTTTCTTCATTTTTGTTCTTCAATTCTCTGCACAAATCATTTATCATGCTCTTTGAATTTGATACCTCGCTTTTTAATAAATGAGATTAGGTACTGTTTTATTATATGCACAAGAACATCCACCTGTAAGGTTAGGTAAACTAATTTAAATCCTTAAACAATAAATTATGCATTGCTAACAGACTTTTTTTTATCATTTATAACATGCTGAATGTGTACATGTGCTGTAGATTGTATTGGTAAAAAGATAATGCTCATACTACTCATACTAAGTCAGGTTTTATCCTAGTAAGGACAAAATGGACAGTTTATTAAGTTAAAAAAAAGGTATTCACATGTTTTACTTGCAGGTAAGATTTAAGGAAGTGTGTAGTTAAAGTGATACATTTATTGGCTAACTCAAGTTATTAGAGATGCATTGTTTCTTGACCTTTTAGGTTCCATACTTAGGCTTTATGCTATTCAGAATAGCATAAAGCCTGTAGAAAGGATCTAAATGCTTGCATCTTTAAGAACTTCAGTTAGCCAATAAAAAGTACTACTTAAACTACAAATGTTCTGCATTGATCAATTGGATTTTATAAGTACCCACATTTACTTATCATAATTGAGTTTAGTGGTATTTTCTACTATGCAAGCTAATATTTTTAACAATTATTTTTATTGAGGCAGCAATATACATTACAATCAAGAGATGGACATTCCTCATTTAATAGAAAAGAGAAATGTAATAGAAAGCACAAAAGATATCTTGTTCCTTGTTAGCTATGCAATTAGTAAACAGTTGTTGATGTAACACAATTAAGAAGGATAGATGGAGCCAGTTAGTGATACATTAGAGTTCTGAGAAAAGTCCATTGTTTTATCTGTAGCAGGTTCTGTAGTTCCCATGCTTTGTAGTGACAAAGAATTGCCTTTTTGATTTCCTGTTTTTTTAATGTGGTATGTTTTGGTAAATGAATGGTATAATATTACAATATCGGGGGGCAAAAATATAAGGCCAAACCTGTACTGACACTTTTTGTTTACATTTAAAAATCAGTATTTTTCGCTAGAAAATTACTTAGAACACCAAAACATTTTTTTTTATATATATATATATATATATATATATATATATATATATTTATTTTTCAGCAGAGTCCCTAGGGAATAAAATGGCAATCATTGCAATTTTTTTTATGTCACACAGTATTTACGCAGCAGTTTTTCAAACATAATTTTTTGGGACAAATAAACTTTAACCTCTTCCTTACCACGCTATAGCCGAAAGACAGCTACAGCATGGTTGTCTAGTTCTGGGATGATGTTCGTGAACATCATTCCAGTACATGCCCCCTGCGTGCCCCCCCAGCGGCACCCACCCGGCGCTTTTGGTGTCCTACGGACACAGCAGATCGCTGGGTAAATACAGTTGCCGGGGATCGGCTGCACTTTCATCACACTGTCACATCAGCAGGAAAGTACTGCCGAGAACCGGCAATTATCAGAGAAGTGATGATCAGTGCCCAGCAGTGCCACTCACCTGTGCCCATCAGTGCCACCCACCTTTACCCTTCATTGCTACCCACCTGTGCCCTGTAGTTCCACCCACCTGTGCCCATCAGTGCCACCTACATGTTCCCAGCAGTACCACCCACCTGTGCCCAGCAGTGCCACCCACCTGTGCCCAGCAGTGCCACCTGTCAGTGCTGCCCAGCAGTGCCACCCATCAGTGCTACCCAGCAGTGCCACCTATCAGTGCTGCCCATCAGTGCCACCCATCAGTGCTGCCCATCAGTGCCAACTCACCAGTGCCACCTATCAATGCCACCTATCATGCGTGAGATGACCTTTGTATGTATAGGCGCAACTATAGGGGGATGGGGCACTTTACATTTTTTTTAAATTTTTATTTCATGATTTTTTTATTTTTCAATTGTCCCTTTAAATTTTTTTTAATCACTTTTATTGCTTTCACAATAAATGCAAACATCCCTTGCGATAACAATAAATCATAACAGCTTCTCTTTATGGAGAGATCTGGGGTCTATAAGACCTCACATCTCTCTACAATGAGGTTAAAAACAAACCATTGATCTAGTGCTTTCCTAAAAAAATGGCCTTGTTTGATGTCATGACTTTGCTCCAGTCCTCCTAGGTCATAGAGATTAATTGAGGCAGTCTTTCCCCAGCTAATTTCTATGACCAGCCTCAGTGACTACCGGATCAGCACCCCAGCTCACCAATCAGACAGGAAAGTCTGAGAACCACCAGAAAATAGTACAGGAGTGATCCCTTTCCCTGCTTATAAAAGTGATCCAGTGGTTAATTAACTGATTGGATCACTTTTAGAAGAAACAACAGCAGATGCTGTAAATTTTAATACTGGGGCTATGGATTCCTCCTGCAGCCATAACCCAGTATTCCGCTTCAAGACCAACATATATACATGTACTGTGGTCTTGAAGTGGTTAAAAATATACAAACAGTATATATATATATATATATATATATATATATATATATATATATATATATATATATATATATATACACACATAGTCAGTCTGGCTGAAAAAAGACAAAAGTACACCCAGTTCAACCATAAAAAAGAAAAGTTATAATCCTACACCCACAGTTGATCCAGAGGAAGGGAAAAAAACCCAGCAAAGCATGATTCAATTTGCTCCTGCAGGGAAAAAAAATCCTTCCTGATCCCCCGAGAGGCAATGGGATATCAGGTTGAATATCTCTACACCGAGTTCACTATATGAACCACTGATGTTGATCATATTCCCCCTCAATCTCCTCTTCTCAAGAGAGAATACAGTAAATGCCTTTAATCTTTCCTCATAGCTGATCTCCTCCATGTATATATATATATATATATATATATATATATATATATATATATATATACTATATTGCCAAAAGTATTGGGACACACCCCTCCAAATCAATGGATTCGGTTGTTTCAATCACCTCCATGGCCACAGGTGTATAAAATCAAGCACCTAGGCATGCAGACTGCTTCTACAAACATTTGTGAAAGAATGGGTCACTCTCAGGAGCTCAGTTAATTCAAGCGTGGTACTGTGATAGGTTGCCACCTGTGCAATAAGTACATCCGTGAAATATTCCAGATTGTAAGCTCCAAGGAACAGGGCCCTCCTTTCCCTCTTTTATTGAACTATATTGTTGCTGTATTGTCTCCCGTTATATTGTAAAGCGCTGAGCAAACTGTTGGCGCTATATAAATCCTGTAGAATAATAATAACTGTTAGTGGTATTATAATAAAGTGGAAGCAACTGAGAACAACAGCAAGTCAGCTACGAAGTGGTAGGCCATGTAAAATGACAGAGTAGGGTCAGCGCATGCTGAAGTGCACAGTGCGCAGAAGTCGCCAACTGTCTGCAGAGTCAATAGCTAAAGAACTCCAAACTTTGTGTGGCCCTCAAATTAGCACAACAATAGTGTGCAGAGAGCTTCTTGGAATGGGTTTCCATGGCCAAGCAGCTACATCCAAGCCTTACATCACCAAGTGCAATGCAAAGCGTCAGATGCAGTGGTTTAAAGCAAGCCGCCACTGGACTCTAGAACAGTGGAGACGTGTTCTCTGGAGTGATGAATCATGCTTCTCTGTCTGGCAATCCGATGAACGTGTCTGGGTTTGGTGGTTGCCAAAAGAATGACACTTGCCTGACTGCATTGTGCCAAGTGTAAAGTTTGGTGGACGGGGGGTTATGATGTGGGGTTGTTTTTCAGGGGTTGGGCTTGGCCCCTTAGTTCCAGGGAGGGGAATTCTTAAGACGTCAGCATACCAAGACATTTTGGACAATTTCATGCTGCCAACTTTGTGGGAACAGTTTGGGGATGGCCCTTCCTGTTCCAACATGACTGCATACCAGTGCACAAAGCAAAGTCCATAAAGACATGGATGAGTGAGTTTGGGGTGGAGAAACTTGGCTGGCCTGCACAATGTTCTCACCTCAACCCGATAGAACCTTTGGGATGAATTAGAGTGGAGACTGAAAGTCAGACCTTCTTGTCTGACATCAATGCCTGACCTCACAAATGCCCTTCTGGAAGAATGGTCAAACATTCCCATAGACACACTCCTAAACCTTGTGGACAGCCTTCCCAGAAGAGCTGAAGCTGTTATAGCTGCAAAGGGTGGGCCAACTCAATATTGAACCCTGCGGACTAAAACTGGGATGCCATTAACGTTCATGTGCATGTGTAAAGATAGGTATCCCAATATTTTTGGTAATATAGTGTGTGTATATATATATATACAGTATATATATATATATATATATATATATATATATAGTGTGTGTTTTGTAGCATTGGTGTATATTGGTGCCACTCCCTAACTGTATTTCACATTAATGGAGAATAGTGTATTTAATTAGATACATACTCTTTCTGCATGCCCCACTGTGTTCATTAACATGCCTGAGGAACTTTTGTCACACTTGTGATTCTTTATTCAGTCCACTCCTTTTATACTAATTGCACTGTAGTGATAAATAGTACGATAAACTGATGTCCCCAATATGATTTAGAACTATTTTCTCTAAAAATATTGTGATAGCTAGAATCAATTTTATGTTTCAGAAATGTGAAGTGTACATTTTACTCCTTTTTAAAATTGGCAATGGTGTTTTGTTATTTTGTACATTAGAAATTACATGGGTATTAAACGGTTGATTAGATTTGCAAATGTTTGAGAATCACTAAGACACATAAATAAACATGCGTTCATTATTTATTCAAATGCAAATGGAAGAAAATAAACACGACTCACCTGATTTCTTTAAAAAGCACTATAGCAAAATGTGGACAGTAGATCGCCTGTAAATTTTGTACTTTTTCAGTTTTTACTATTTAATATCATTAAATTGTATCATAGAAGCAACATTTGCATTGATTTTTTGGTCTTAATCAATATAATAATGCTGTTGCTTTAAAGCCAAATATTGATCCAGCTCCCTAACACTTGACTTGACACATATTTTCTATTGACAGCATCAGATTTATATTCCATGTTTCAATTAGTACACATGGGAAGATTTAATGATGTCTGCATTTGCCAAAACCATTTCATTGTTGTTCCCATGAATATGTTATCATTCTAGATCAGTGTTCTCAAAGGTAATCTCTCTGCTGATAGCTGATATTTGAGTGTAAACTAGTTGTTGGAATCTAATATGTAAGCCTCTTGCTGAATCTATATGTCAATAGTATATACATCTAAAGTGATTGTAATTAGTGTACAGTGCATACACTCTTTTCTGCTAGCTTGTTATAAGGCAATGGTCACATTTGCTATTTCTTATCTTTTGTCTTTGTTTTAATTGTTTTCATGTAGTATATTCTTCAACTTTCTGCTTGTGAAAAAGATAACTTTACTTATGCATGATATGCAGTAGGCCTGTACATTTACATGTCTTCCAGATAACTTCAGCAGTATTGGTAAGAAATTGTATTTTTAAGGAATCAGATTTTAACTGGAGCAGAGCTCTGGGCATTGTGAAGCGGAAATCTCGCATCTCCTCAAGCTGGCGACATATCGTAAAATGTTCTTAACACAAAGTGTTCCCAACACCTAAAGTGACATTAAACCCTCAGTCTTTTTTAGCGCTTTCTGTAGCTAATATAGGGGCTCCATTCATTTAGGATCTGTGGTAAAATACCTCTTAGTAAAATTTTCAAAAATTCTTTTGCAATTCACTAAAAATAGATATCACATGATCTATTTTATGAAGTGATGCAGTATTTTAGTAGTGACAACTAGCAATATATTACCACCTGGCATTTGCCGGTGTCCTTAACAATCAGTGAATAACCAGAGCAGGTTGTTGATGTCATAAAGGGGCGGGATCACCCAGTGACATCATTGGGTGGCCAAGCATCTTCACTCATTCAGCCAGAGCAAAGTGTCAGTGCGGATCATTTTTTTTCGTTCATTCTGGTCTGCAGCCAGCATTCATTGTAATTGATGTTGGATCTACTTTGGGGGAACATTTTTTTTGTTTTCTTTTTTTGAATAAGGGACTTGTCAAAAACTGTCTGTGTGTTTTTATTTTCTTTGCACTTTTTGGTTATTGAATACCCATACTCATTCAAATAGGGGTTGTGGGGTTCTCCTCAAAATCCATACCAGACCCAAAGGGCCTAGTAAGGATTGGGGGGACCCACACACTGTTTTTGTTTTAAATCTTATTAATGTCAGCATTTGTTTTGCTGACAGCAGATGAGCCATGGTTCTTAAGGATGTGGCGACCACCTACCAGCTATTTACTGGTTGTTAGGAACACTGGTGGCTTCCAGCTCCTTAACAACCAGTTAAAATGAGACACATTCCTTCAATATCGCATGCCTGGACTGTAGCAAACTGGCTCATCAGAGTTGAACGCGGAGTTCCCCTTTTCTATTGGAGGTATTCCTTGGTCCTTCATTCCCTACCCGCCCCTTCCTGAGAGGCCCAGTGACAGATGGTGTGGGTCAACCGCAGGTTAAGGCATCCTTAGTCCGGTGCCGAGCAGTCTGTGGAAGTGTAGCCTTCCTCACCTAAGTCATGATAAGGCCAGCATTCCTCAGAGAATTGGGAAGCACTGACCTAAAAACTTGTGTAGGCTCACACATCATAAAACAGATAAGGCAGTTTCTCCCAGGAATTGAAAGAGATTGTAACCTCACAAAACCTCACAGTTAAAGATGACAGAATGAAATGAACATTCCTCAAGTCTGTTTTTTTTCCCCTATGTTTCATGTCATGGATTATGACAGATGTTGGTTCTAATTCAGTTCGCCTGACTGACCCCTCCCAAAACAGCGTAGTGGCCAGTATTCAGAGCCAACCCCCCTTACAGGGGGATTTTAAAAAGACAGGCTGGCAAGCCTAAGGTAAGCAAACACATTTCCTGATCTTAACATCGTAACAGAGGAGATCAAAGACCTTTTCCGCTCTGAAACTTGGATCTGCTTACAAACCAAGGCTTACTGGCAAGTAACTTAACCCTGTAACTTCATTCCTATTATCTCTTTGCTGTACTTTTATATGTGTATATATATATATATATATATATATATATATATATATATAAGTGACATCTCTTTGTACATATTTTATTGCACCTGTTTGACTCTTTTTTAGTAATAAATCTTTCTTTCAGAAATTTTTTAACTGTTTTTAAGCGCTTACTTGCAATTCACAAATTCCTGCCTTTGAAGAGACGCTACTGTTTGTTATAATCTCTGTATAACAGGCCTGCGGACCGTGTTATATAGATCAATATTTCAATCATTATAGTGTATATTTGATAACGGGAGTTTCCCAGTCTCCGACAAAAGTGGTGGTGGCAGTAGAGGGTTAGTTGCGTAATTAACCTGACCCAGTAACAAGCGCATTCAGACTTCAGGCACCAATTGTAGCCCATTAGCTGACAATCGCTGTGCAGGGTGCAGCTGGGTGTGGCCTTGTTACGCGCATCACACTTTAGATCGGCCGGTCCTTCGGTCACGAGTTTGGTGAGAAGGTCTGGGGTCTAACGCCGCGGGCGTGACGTATTATTGTTGGTTGCGATCGTGCAATTGTCGCATGTTGGTGGCGGCAATCGTGACATGGACCATTACTTATTTAACGCATTTATTTATTTATTTTAGTAAATTGACTTTAAAAACATCTTATGTGGTATTTACTGAGCGTTTTGATTTTTAAGGCACATACCGAATACAGGGATAGTGAATTGACATTTTCAGCACCACAGGCATTATTTGGGAAAAGTGTGTCAGATCACCTAAATACCGCATGTGAATGCAGCTTCTTTATCTTTTAATCCTTTCCTATGTTCCTGTTGAAGCTGGTGCCATCACTGCTGCCCCAGGTTTCCTGTTTCAGAGTAGCTCCTTTCTCTTGCAAGATCCTCTAGAGCCACTCTCCACCAGGAGCTTTCCAATTTGCCTTTCTTCTTTTATGTGCCTTTACACAGGAGTGGCCAGTTTTTTGATGAGACTAGGGTCTTTTGTATATCTTCTTTATGAGTCAGGCTCCTGGTTTATAATTCATACTTTATAAATATGTGTCATACTGCGATAGATATTTTGGGCCTACAATAAGTTTTAACATTATTGTGAACTTCTGATAGGGGTCTCAATTCCTGCAACTTATTTACCATCTGTTGCAGCACCTCAACACCCCCCCCTTAAAAAGGTTTCCTGTAGAGGTTTCTGACAGTAGGGCCATTCTGCTGAATAAGACCTGGAGTCGTCATTTCTAACACCTCCTAGGGAGTATTGTCATAGATTTTCCTGTGGGAACTGGTTTCAGAGGAGGTAAGCTTCATTGGACATTGGCCTATCCTAAATTCCATCTGATGAACTACAGTTGGCCAATCTTTCACAAATTATT